TAGGCCATGGACATCAATTGTGTTTTTTTTTTTTTTTTTTTGAGGCAAGGTCTTATGTGGCCCAGGGTGGTCTTGAACTCCTTGTGTAGCCAAAGATGATGATAAACCGATTCTCCTTCCAGCACCCACCAAGTGCTAGAGTAGCCACATGCCGCCATACACTCATCGAAGGAAATTTCCGTGTGAAAGTGGTCGTGGGATTCAAATTTTGTGACCTTGATGATAAAGACCGAGTCGGAGAAGACACAACTAAAGAGATCAAGACCTTTGTCTAGAACGGAGACGACACAGTGGCTGTTTCTGAACATGGTCCAAAGCCAGGGCCGGGATCAAAGAGCAGGAAGTTCCCAGGAGACAGGCTTGGCCCCATACAAGGGAACACTGCCGGCAACAGCCCTTGTTTCAGACTGCTGGGGCTGCTTTGCCAAATGGAGAAGTTTCCGAGCTCTGGGCACCTTGGCCCTACGGAACAATCTAGATTAGAGTCTTCTTCCAGGAGAAACTTCTGTTCTGAATGGGAGGCGAGAGTAAGAGTCACCACCCAACTCATTAAAATTCTGATTTTTTTTTTTTTGTATTGTCAAGATTGCGAGAGAAACGAAGAGAAACGAAGAGCATCCATATCAGAACTTTACGGGAAGTTTTGGGTGTGAAATGACCTCATCTTGACAAGGTGCAACAACACCCTCATTTGCATTCAAACCAACAGACAGACTAAAACAAAACAAAACAAAATGATAAATCCAACCTTTCTCCCACCCTCTCTCCTCTCATCTTCCTCCCACTTCCCTCCCTCCCTCCCTCCCTCCTTCCCTCCCTCCCTCCCTCCCTCCTTCTCTCTTTCTTTCTTCTTTTCTTTCTATGAGAGGGTCGCGTATCCCAACTGAGCTATAGGTTCTCATGCCCAGTTCTGTATGGTGCTAAGGATGGAAGCCAGGATTACACACATGTTGTGCGATCACCAAGTCACACCCACAACTCCTAGTTGTTTTTTTTTTAATTATTTCATATATTTATTCTTAGGCTAAGTAACAAAAAATTGTTCGGGACAATTTATTTATAGACAGTTATAAGCAGCGAGAAAAGGATCAAGCTTCCAATACCTGACCTTTGGGGGTACACTTAAGTCTTAACACTACCCAGCTCCACTCTGCCACTCAGAAGGAAGCTGGAGCCAAGTGACACATGTCCTACGGCAACTCTGCTATGAGCTCCCTGCACCTCCACATTGGAAAAACAACACTAGGGATCTACCCTGTCTACCTGCCCGAGCTTGGAACCAGTTCTAGGAAGCTCTCTCCTATGCTGTTCAACTGCTAATATTTTAATTTAAATGAGGTGGTTGGGCCTGGAGACAGCTCAGCAGTTGGGAGTGCTCGCTGCTCCTGAGGAGGACACCAATGACCTGGTGGCTCTAGCTCCAGGGGACTGGGCACCTCTGTCTTTAGTTCTTGCACTCAGAAACACACACCTGCACACGGACACCAACACATACATTGTTGGACACTATTTCAGTGTTTCCTTTCTTCTCCTCATCTCAGGTAAGGTTTGATGTCACAGATGAGTAAATTTCTTTTAGAAGGTTGTGATTTTTTTCCCCTGTTATTCAATGTCACATGTGATTTTGAGATAATAATTTAAAGCCATTTCTTATTTGTGGCATTTTGTTACTCTGGGAGGTGGCTTGGGCAACACTGCTTGAAACACATTTCAGATGATTTATGTCCTTCCCTTTGTCTCCCTCCTCTCGTCTGAACTGCCTGCTGATTCCATGAAGTCACCAGGCAAGTTTGGCCTTGCTCCTTAGCACCTGGAGTCCTTTAGCAAGCACCCTTTTCCAGCTGGCAGCCGTACCCCTCGCCTGTAATCTTGGCGACGACAGATGGCACTTCAAGCATTCTCTTCCCTTTCTGTCCATCACCCCTTAAGATCACAAAGATGAGAACAGCTTCGTGAACCTCTGGATCAGAAGTTGGCATCAGGTGGAAATCCATTTGCTGCTAGCCATGGCTCTTCCTCCCAGGCAGGTCCGCCCAGAAGAAGCTCCATTCCTTTAAACGCCGCTGGAGAGCTCAACTGCTGAGTTCCCAGACAAACCCTTTCCTGCTGTATAGTATGAACATAATGCTTGGACAGGGAATAATGTGCAGATTCTGAGTTCTTAACGACTTACTCATCCTGCTAAATAAATTTCATGACCAATGGGATTCAGTAGCTTATTATTAAGAAGGCTGTAACAGGTTCTATTACAATGCTGTAACTTGGTGCACCCAGCTGGGCTTTTCCTTGTGTAAACAACACTTTCATACTAATGCATCAGGCGAACACTGGCCAAGGGAGCAGGGCTGTCAGCTCCAGGGAGTTTTCTGAGTAGATTTATAGTTTGCTTTGATACAAGGGTTGAAGGGTGCTGGAGACCATACCAGGGCCACATCAGTCATAAACACAGGCCCAGGTAGTCAGACCCACAGATAGGAAGCCAGTTCTGGGAAGACTCCTGGCCAATGGCTGATGATCCTAGACAGAATACACTTCCCCTTCTGGAAACATCGAGGTTTCATCGGTTGGGTCATGTTTTTCCTTCGGTTGTTCTTAATCTCTGAGTAGAACTTTCCTGCGTTTTCTTTACTGTATTGAGGCAATGAGAAATGCTTTTTCTCTTACAATGCTACACTGTCTTTCCATGCCACGATCTTATGCCTAAGCTGTCTCACTTCGTTCTGGGGTGAATGGCTGAACAAGTTACAGGTATCCGGGTGTTTTTATTTTTAAGCACAGAAACCAGATTTATTAAAGAAAAGTGAAGAAGAATGTCCAAGAGTAGGAGGGACTCTAAAGGAGGAATTCACTGACATTTGTTTTTAAAAAGAGATTTACTTTTTATTGTATTTTAATTATGTACATGTGTGGGTGTCTATATGAGTGTAAGGAGCTTGTGGAGGGGAAAGGTATCAGATCCCCTGGAGTTGGAGTTACAGGTGGTTGTGAGCCACCCACTGTGGGTGTTGGGAACTGAACTCAGGCTCTCTATAAGAACAGTACATGCTCTTAACATCTGGGCCATCTCTTCAGCCATGATGTCCATTTTTAATGTTTCCTTCCATATGCTTAGATTACAAAATCTACATTTTCAGTTGCTTTGATGATTAAGGTTGATATTACCAATTCTGATTGGTTTTATATGTGAAGTTATAGGTTTTGTGAATTAAGTTCAGGTTCATTTGTGAAGGGTGGAGGCAGGGTCTCTTAATTGCCCTGGAAATGGTTGATTAGTCTAGACTGGCTAGTAAGGGAGGGTCATGGGTCCATCTGCCTGTCTCTGCCTCCCTAGTGCTGGAATTACAAGTGCACACACCAAGCGTGACTTTAAAAAAAATGTCACTTTTAGGGACTGTACTCAGTTCCCTTTTCCAACTGAGCTGTGGCTCTATCCCAGGCTCATTAATTGCTTTATAATTTTAAATTTGGCTCTCTGTATCATATTTGATGAACTTTTCTCCCTTGAAGACCAGCTTGTGGAGTTGGTTCTCCAACTTGGGCTGTGGTCAATATGAGATGCTTTGTGTGAAGTACTATTGTTCAGCCTGGTTCTTGGGCCATCCAACCAGAACTCTTAGGTGTTTATCACCAAGACAGTTCTGAGCCTTTGGTGATATCGTGCAAATGAAACAGGGCTGCCACTACCCATGGGGTAAAACGTCTCCAATGTGGAGAATGGGGGAAAGAAATGCCAGCTCTGCCAACTGGTAATTTTTGGTTAGAATTCTGGCTAAAATTGGCAAAGGAACAAGTTCCAAACATTTCTTCTCCTTGGGGCTTTTAAAGTATTAGGAAATCAGATCCCATATCACATGGTCAACCATCCTTCTCTATGGTCTTTACTTGGTCATCTCTTACCGTCTCCAAACACACAATGTCTCATTTCCACGCTGTGTTTGACAAATACTGTCTAATCAAGTTCTACGCCAATCTTTTTTTTTTTTTTTTTTTTGAGACAGGGTCTCATGTAGCTCAGGCTAGCCTCAAACTTGCCTCGTAGCTGAGGACGACATCAACTTCCTGATCTTCCTGCCTCTGCTTCCCGAGTGCTGGAATTTGTTGGTGTGTGCCACCCTATTGGGCTGAAGTCTATGAACACCCTGTAGTGCCTGCTGTCTTCATGTTTAGTTTCTCCCTCTGTACCAACGGTAAACTCTGTACCGTTGGTCAGGCAGGGCCTCACTCTGTAGCCTTGGCTAGTCTGGGATTCAGTGTGTCACCAAAGTTCCCCTGGAACTTAGGGCATTTTCCTCCATTTCAGCCCACCAAGTGCTGAGGTTACGGGTGGGAACAGCCGCGACCAGCTGTGAACTTGTTTACGTACTTGGTGTAACTTGTGTGTCTTTTTTTAAATGTATAAAACACTTGTTCAGTGACTGGCATAAAGAAATAGGCATTGATGAATTATAAGATGATTGTTCTAGTAATTTAATCCTTGTCTGAGGAGCTAGGACTGTTGGCTGCATTGATAGGGTCTCTGAGGTCTACTTTCAGCGAAGGTGCCATTCTTGTCTTGCGTGATGGTAAAACCCACATATTGAATGGCTGATATCTACCCTAACTAAGGAATTCATCAAATAAATAATGAATTAACGTTAATAACACAACAATGAGCTGTCAATCACAACTCCATCCCAATATTAAATTTCTTCCCTTTTTTTTTGGAGCCTGTCTTGGAACTCACTCTGTAGACCAGGCTGGCTTCGAACTCACAGAGATCCGCCTGCCCCCGCCTCCAGAGTGCAGGGATTAAAGGTGTGCACTACCACCGCCTGGAGAAATATTAAATTTCTTGGGAAAATAAATAACCAGGAATGACTTTGTTAGTTTTCAAAATTAAGTTTATTGAAGCACAGAAGCAGTCAGAGCCAACTTCTCCTTTCTACTTTTGAAAGAACGTTCTAATAAGAAAACACGAGGCTGCAGGAAACGGGCTGGTCAGCTCTATTGAACAGCAGCAGGTCTGTTGGAAGTGAGCCATCACTAGGTCAGAGTGGTGCGCTCCTCACCAATTCCCCTCTCAACTGTTCCCTTTGACAGGCGGCCCTGCTGATGTGGAAACGGCCTATTTTATCTTCACTTCAGAAATGCTGCTGACTTGAGAGGAGACAACTTTGCCATCTACCACTTCCTCGATGATGGTCTTCGTCACTCTTGTCTTGCTGGGATCTGAAAATCACGGGACCACAAGGTCAGTGTGAAGATGGTCACTGAGCCCAGAGCAGGAGAAACTCTGCCCTTCCTGACTGTGCTCTCTCTGTTTCAGATGCTGTCAGCAACTGTGGGCATTTTAACAATTATTTTTAAAACGTTTGTGTGTGTGTGTGTGTGTGTGTGTGTAGGTGGGTGCACATGCATGTACGTGTGTGCATGTGGAAGTCAGAGGACAACCTCGCTGTGATTTCCCAGGCAACGCCCACCTTGTTTTTGTTGTTTGTTTGTTTGTTTTGAGTCAGGGTTTCTCACTAGCCTGGAACTTGCCAAATGGGCTGGCCAGTCAAAGCTTCAGCAATCAATCTGTCTTTACTCTTCCCTTGCCTTGGAATTACAAGTCCACAAGACTGTGGCACCACGCATGGCTATTTTCTCCATGGGTTCTGTCTGGGGGTTGAACTCAGGTCCTTATACTTACAAGGCAAGCACTTCGGGACTGAGCCATTTCCCCAGCCCAACAGTAAGAAGATGCAACACGTAAAGCCCGCTTTTCATTGCACAATACTCTCCAGAGAAAATCCATTATAAAAACGCTTTTAGATGGTAACATTATCATCAATATTAGGAAAACGTCTACCTTTTCCTTGGCCAGAACAGCTCCCGGATCTTGAGTCACTCAGCACCACATGCCTGGATGCTAAGTTTCCATAATCACATCCACTGCAGGCAAGAAGAAAGAGTGGCGTTCTCCTTTGCACTGGTCTAAGGTGGGAGAAGTCCTCCAGCCCCCAGAGACCCCAGGGTGCAGCTTTGGGTGTGTTCTGATCGGGCTGTGTCTGACCCCTCCCCCTCCATCTTTGATTTCACAAGCCCACCTCACGCAACTCCGCCCACCCCACGCATCCCCGCCCACCTCACGTATCTCCGCTCACCCTCCTTCTCCGTTGAGCAGGCGCCGGTAGGTCTCGATCTCCTCCTCCAGTCGTGTCTTGATGTTCAGCAGGCATTCGTACTCGGCCTTCTGGCATTGCGTCTCACCCCGAATCTGGCTGAGCTGCTCCTCCAGGCAACTGATCTGGGTCTGGATTCCAGACAGCTGAGACCCGTAGCCAGCTTCGGTGTCAGCCAGGCTCCCTTCCAGAGAGCATTTCTAAGACGAAGAAAAAAAAAAAAAACAATCATGTTGAAAATAAGCCAATGGATGATTTAGAAAAATATCCAATTTTATATGAGTAGAGATACGCTTTTGTCTGCTACGGGCACAATCTATATTGTCTTGTCTTTGCTTCTTTAACTTTCCTTGGCACAGCTCAAATGAAATCTTTAATGCGAATAGAGAGAGAGTTGTGTGTATGCATGCGCGCGTGTGCGTGCCCATATATACATATATATGTGGAGCCAGAAGTTGACATACGTATCTTCTTCTGTTACCCTATGCATTTCAAGACAGAGGCTCTCATTGAGACTGGAGCTCACTGATTTGGCTAGGTTAGTCAGGGGTTCACCTGTTTCCATGCATCCCCCACCCCAAGTTTTCACATGGGTGCTGGGGATCTGAACTCTGGTCCTCATGTCTGCACAGCAAGTACTTTACCCGTGGAACCATCTCCCTAGTCCCAGAGAGCAGCGTGCTTGACTCTTGGCCTACACACACACACACACACACACACACACACACACACACACACACACACACACACACACACACACACACACAGTCCTGTATGTTTCTTTATAGACTAGACTGGCCTAGAATGCACAGAGACTCACCTACCTTTGCTTCCCAAGAGCTGGGATTAAAGGCGTGGGCCCCGCCCCCGCCCCCGCATGCCTGACTCTTTCTGCTCTCTAGCAGACAAAGCAGTTTTCCTTTTTCTGTGTTTACGTGTGTAGTGAGCATCTTGGCAAAGAAGGACGACTCATTCGCTGAGCTCTTTGTTGGAGAGTTAAAACAAGCAACCGACCCCTGTCTGCACATACCTGGGCCAGCAGGGATTGAAGCTCAATTTCCAGGGTTTGCACGGTGCGCCTCAGTTCCATTACCTCGTTCTTGGCAGAATTGGCTGCCCCTGCATCCGTCGAGATTTGGACTTGCAGGGATGCACTCTAAATGGAAAGAAAGCACAGTTGCCATAGGCTGCAGCAGCGGAGGTGGTGGCTGATGCGCGGCTGCAGGTTGAGGAGCTTGGCGCCGCACCGTACCCGCTCGTTGAACTGTCTCTCGGCTTCCTGGCGGTTGTGCTCAGCCAGCGCCTCATACTGGGCCCTCATGTCATTCAGTAGTTTGGTCAGGTCGGTTCCTGGGGCAGCGTTCATTTCTACAGTCACGTCGCCTCCAGATCTTCCTTGCGCGCACTTCATTTCCTAGCATGAAGGGATTAAAAAAGGCGCCACGGTGACGCAGATGGTAAGCTGCCACTTTCTAATGCTTGTGTTACTGTAAATAAACATTGGGAACCATGACACCGTGAGCAAGATGCAACACGCTCTCTGGCCATTGGATGGGTGGGGAGAAAATATGGATGGCAGAGCAGTTCATGTATGCGGAACCCGTTCCTACCTCTTCATGGTTCTTCTTCAGGAGGACCAGCTCCTCGGTTAAACTCTCGATCCGCATTTCCAGGTCAGAGCGAGTCATGGTAAGGTCATCCAGCACTTTCCTCAGGCCGTTAATGTCGGCCTCGACAGACTCCCGGAGACACAGCTCATGCTCATACCTGGAAGGGGTGGCAGGAAGTCAGGTGAGGGGACTCTTCTTTCCTTCCTTCCTTCCTTCCTTCCTTCCTTCCTTCCTTCCTTCCTTCCTTCCTTCCTTCCTTCCTTCTCCTTCCTCCCTCCCTTCCTTTTTATGTTTTTTAAATTTATTTTTTATTTTATGTTCACTGGTGTTTTGCCTGCCTGTATGTCTCTGTGTGAGGGTGTCGGTAGCCCTGGAACTGGAGTTACAGACAGGCGGTAGCTTCCATGTGGGTGCTGGGAATTGAACCTGGGTCCTCTGGAAGAGCAGTCAGGGCCCCTAACTGCCAAGCCATCTCTCCAGCCCCAGAGTACTTCTCTTTCACACCCCTGGAAAAAGTTTTGACTTTGGATTCCTGCTTTTTCTTTTTCTTTCTGTGGTGTGGGGCCCAGGCCCTACACTCCCAGTTACCCCCGAGTATTTTGATAAATAAAACTAGCTGAGGTTTCTTTGATGATTTTTTTTAATCTCAGAAAGAAAAATAATTTCTAATCTTAATTCTGGCCATGTGCAGTATTTTTCGAATATTTGTCAGCCTTAATTTCCTCTCTCGCCCTCCCACTTCCTTCCTCCCTCTCAGTCTCTCTTGCTTTCCCTTCCTTTCCCTCCCTTCTCTTCCCACAGTGGCCTCTAAAGTTTAGTCCTGGGAGCCAGGCTCACTCTTGTAACATAGCAGCCCAGCTAGAGACAAGAAGGTGAAGAGTTAGTGCAAGGACATCCTTAGTTCCATGGTGAGTTCAGCTCCAGGCTGGGCTACACAAGCCTTTGTCTAAAGACCAAACAAAACCAAAACACGGAAAACCCTTTCCAAACCAAGCAAATAGTAAAACAACAAAAAAGAAAACCACCCAAGTCCACCCCTGGTTTCTTTGTGAATTTAGGTCGTGATCCCACCAAGGGCGTTTCCCTCGGCAATCGGGCTGTGTTTTATTCCCTGTGATGCTTGCTTTCAAGTATCTCATGCTTCTTACTTCATCCTGAAGTCATCGGCGGCCAGTCTAGCGTTGTCCATCTGCAGGGTCCTCCTGGCATTCTCAATGATGGCCGAAATGACCTGGGAAAGAGGGAGGACAGACTCCTAGCTGATGCTCCTGCCTGACTTTTAATTCTTACCCATGAGGGTAGACATGGCCTATGTCATTAACTCTTAAAGGTGGGCTAGCCTGCAGACTGGCTCAGCAGCGGCGCGTGTACACTTAGCACCCCGTGTCTCCGCAACGGGAAACAGCGTGCATAGCTATCGGAGTATGAGTAGACACGGGACACTGTTTTACAGAATGCCGTCCTCTGCCTATTTCCGCTGTTCAGAAGATCAGTTATTTCCTCGCCAATCGAAGAAACTAATGTGAACACGTAATTCCACTTAAAAACATACGGCTCATACATAATTTCCCGTTTCATGACATTATGCAATGTTTTACCAGATTCTATAGGAAGAAAATAATTTTAGAGACGAATCCAGAAAGACACGAAAGTATACTAACCAGTCAGAATGAGTCATGAAGTAATTAGGTCACCCTAATTATCCATTCAGTATCGCCCCTCTTACGACCTGTCAGGTGGCTATCGTCACCGTATGAACGCGGTACTCACATTTGAGATTCAGACAGGATACTACTGTTGTATGTCATATGCAGGACGGCCACAATCAAGATACAGGAGGGCCCATTTTGCACACAAACAATTCCTCGACTTAGCATCCTTTAAAGGGCCCTCGAGCTAGCTCAGCCAGGGCAGGTGCTTGCTTCCCTGTGTGATGAACTGAGTTTGATCCAGGGACTCACATGGCAGAAGGAGAGAACCAACTCCTGTAAGTTGTCCTCTGACTTCCACACTTGTGCCCTGGCATGCATGCCCCCTCTCTGTACACATAAGTGCACATACACACACACACACATAAATAACTGTAAAAAGAAATTCATCATAGTCTATGACCTGGAACTATAGAGTCCCACCTGGTTCTTCAGATCTTCTATGATTGGCCAGTATTTGCTGTAGTCTCTTCCACAGCCATCTTTTCCAGACCCATGCTTGCTGTACCATGCCTTGATTTTAGTCTCCAGGTCAGCGTTGGCCTCCTCCAGGGCTCGCACCTTGTCTAGGTAGCTGGCCAGACGGTCATTGAGGTTCTGCATGGTTTGCTTTTCAGTTCCAGAGAGAAGGCCCCCATCACCGCCACTGCCACCGCCAAAGCTACCTCCCATACCACCAAAGCCAGAGCCCCCCCCAAAGCCAGAGCCTCCACCAAAACCAGAGCCTCCACCAAAACCAGAGCCCCCACCAAAGCCAGAGCCTCCACCAAAGCCAGAGCCCCCACCAAAACCAGAGCCCCCACCAAAGCAAGAGCCCCCACCAAAACCAGAGCCCCCACCAAAGCCAGAGCCCCCACCAAAGCTAGAGCCTCCACCAGAGCCAGAGGCTGCTCCAAACCCACCCGTTACCACACAGCTACCAAAGTCCCCTCCAGCACCACTTCCAAAGCCGCCCTTAGGTCCCCCACTCAGGCCGCAACTGTTGCTGCTTCCCTGGAAGGCCCAGGAAGGACTTGCGCCCAGCCCACAGCTGCTCCCATCGCTGTAGATGCTTCCACCAGCATGCGCCCCCCTGCCCGAGGCCCCGGAGGAGGAGACTCGGGAGGAGCAGGACCATCTCTGAGTTGAGCACTCCATGCTGCTCCTGCCAGTGCTGAGCTGTCTCGGGAGACTGGAGAAGGTGGAGAGAACTGTTCTTGGCTGCCTCTTGGCTTTTTTATACACGCCAGCAGGGTGTTCCTTTTTCTCTGTCGTTTCCTAATCCCTGCTACAATTTTGTTAATCCCTAATTGGATAATTCCTTTTCCATAAACCTACTCTACTGGCTCTTTTTATGAGGCTGGGTCAGACGTTAGAAAAGATAAGGTGGAGCCATTTTTTTTTTTTTCTTTTCAGAATTACTGTTCTAAGCTTTGAGAGGTTTTGATGGCTGGTAATTTCTTCAGAAAATACAGTTCCATTCCATTTAATTTGCTGCGTGATTTCCCAACATCAGAGCGTATCCCTGATTATCAAGTGTAATTAAAACCCCTCGGTGTGTTCAACTACACGTTCCTCAACATGTAGTTTTTTGTTTGTATTGTTATCAAAGCCAAAATTAGTGATAGCATTAGAATTGATTTTGCATTTAATAGAGCTCTTCTTTGATTTGGTAATTTCTTCCTTGCTAATTTAAGAGGAACTGATTTTTTTTCACAGTGAATAGGAAAAGTTAATCATATACTTCCCGTGAATATTGTTGACATGCTCATTCAGGTAGATACTGACCGAGAATGACCCAACAAGGTTTCAGGTTGTTCTAGCATGAGACCTGGGCAAGGCTGCCAATGCCTCCTGCGTGCCTTTCTGATTGGAATCTGCTCCTTCTCACCCCACTTCCCACCTTGAGATAAGGTCTTGTGTAGTCTAGGCTGGCCGAGGACACACTGCGCTTCTGGTCCTCCTGCCTCTACCTCCGGAGGTTTGCGATGGTAGACATGTGCCACCATGTTTTATACTGGTCTGGGGACTGAACCCAGGCCTTTGTGGTCTCCAGGCAAGCACGCTATGAGCAAGCATGCTACCAATGGAGAGACACCTCCTGTTGTTCCTTTTGGAAACTACAGCTCCCAGATTCCTCCTGGATTACGGACACCTGTGCTCGAGGGCTTGCACAGGTGCAGGACATTTCTCCCAGATACCCTTGCGCTTCTCGTTAAAAAGCGAGCTTCCTCGAGGTCTCGCTCTCTTGCCCTTTACCCTTGTGTGTCTTGCACACCTGTCCCTTATCGTGTCCCCCTCCCCCCCATTAAAGTGCACCCACGTGGGAGCTGCGTGTCTGTGTCTTCTCCTTTCGTGCATGTCTTGTCTGTCCTGTGTTTGTCTACACACACACCCTCTTTAAAAGAATAATACCTCCAGCCCTCTGCTCTCGTTTTACAGTAACAGCAAGATCTAAGTCTTCAGAAATGGAGAGGAACCGAGGCTTACCATCCCTGCCTCTGTTCTGAAGGCAACTGGGAAGAGGAATCTGAAACCGCTGTTAATACGCAGAGGAGTAATTTACACCGGGGGGAGATCTGGAATTGTTCCAATCTGTCCAGTCTTAATTTAGGTTTCTGTTTCTGTCTAAAGGATATTTAGAAAGGAGGGCCTTGATTTCTTTCTTCTCTCTCTCTCTCTCTTTCTCTCTTTGTTTTTCGAGACAGGGTTTCTCCTTGTAGCTTTGGTGTCTGTCTGGGAACTAGCTCTTGTAGACCAGGCTGGCCTCAAACTCACAGAGATCCTCCTGCCTCTGCCTTCCACATGCTTGGATTAAAGGCCTGCGCCACCACTGCCCGGCTAAGGACTTTGATTTCTGATTACTCATGCTACGATCAGGGTCATCACGTCTTAGGATCTTCATTCTGGGACCTCCCCCATTCACCTTCAGCTTTGTGTTGTTCTGCCCTTTTGTGGTAGAGATATTTCCTCTTATCTTGGCTACTAGTTCCTCTGCTTTAAAAGTGTCACTTTAAAAGACTAGCAGTTCTGGGCGGTGGTGGCGCACACCTTTAATCACAGCATTTGGGAGGCAGAGGCAGGTGGATCTCTGTGAGTTCTAGGTCAACTTGGTCTTCAGGACTACACAGAAAAACCCTGCCTAGAAAAACCAACAAGATGGGAGGGTGGGGATAGAGAGAGAGAGAGAGAGAGAGAGAGAGAGAGAGAGAGAGAGAGAGAGAGAGAGAGAGGGAGAGAGAAGCAATGGGGCTAGTGATGTGGCTCAGTGGATAAAGGTGCTTGCTGCCAAGTCTGACCACCCAAATTTGATATTTGAACTCACGTGGAAGGAGAGACTTGATTGTTGCAAGTTGCCACCTGACCTTCAGAGTTCTCCACAGCATGTGCACACTGGAGGGCATGCACAAATACAAAACAAACATGTGCAAATTAAAAACATGAAAGATCACCGATGTTCGACTCCACTGGCATTAAGTTCCTGGAGGCGTCAAACCGCAGACATAGACTGGAGTGGTGGTGCCAGGGCTGGGCCGGGAGGGGGGAGTTGCTGTTGAGTTGGTAGTGTGTGAGCCTTGCAGGTGGGAAGGCTTCAGTAAGTCACGTGCACTGACAGTGTGAGTGCCCGCCACACTGTTGAACTGTATATGTCAAGTGATTACGACGGTAAGCTTGATGCGTGTATTTTATCACGATTTTGAAAAGGTGCTGTTTGCAAAGGTTTACATGCTTGAGTATGGCTTTATGCTCAAGTGACTGGGTTTCCATATTTGAAATGTTCTCCCTTGATGGTCTTTTAAGCCTTGGGTATGCTTTAATCTCAATCCAACCTTCTTCCTTCATTAGCTTTTCCTTAAGCTGACTTTATTGTGTCTTCATTATTAAATTAGGTGATAATTACCTTTATTATTTGTATACACACACACACACACACACACACACACACACACACACGTGCATGCACATGGGCCAGACTGGTTGGCCAAAAAGCCTCAGGGAACTGACTACTCTGCCTCCCCTCCCTGCGCCTTCCTCTTTTACGTGGGTTCTGGGAAGCAAATGCAGTGGCTGGCAAGTGAGCGAGTTTTTCTTCCTTTGGAAGTTATGAAGTGGAATCTTTCCACCCTGATAAATTGGGCTAAGGCGGTTGTAAGAAAGGAACAAAGGTAAAGCAGAAGAAATCCGATGGAACTGAGAACCAAAGAGCCTGGGGGGAGAGAGCTTTGTGAGAAAGGCCAGGAGAGACAGCATTCTAAGGGGTCGGATTTCTCTGCTGTGTGTGTGTGTGGTTGTAGCTGTCATCTGTACTGGAGGTGTTTGATGGCTTCGTTTATGATGTGTCTGGGGATATCAGAACTTTCTGGTCTTAACCGAGGAAGTATAGGATGGTGGAGGTGTTCTTTTTAATTTGTTATAGTTTTTCTCTTGATATGTTTTATAATGCCTGTAACCCCTCTCCTTCCCTCTTTCCTTCTTCCCTTCCTTCTGCGGGTCTCCTTCTTCCTTGGGATCTTTGGCACATTGGTCCACAAGGGTGGAGGGAGCAGAAGTGAGGGACAGGGTTCTGAAGGCTATGGGTACAGTGGAGACAGCCCTCTGGGAGATGACTTCAGTGAGTGAGCTCAGGTTTATTCCAGAGCAGAGGGAATACACAGTATTGGGGAGCCTGGGCAAACCCTAATTTGCATTAAGTGACTGCTACTCTCACAAGGCTGCAGGGTCCTACAGCAAAGCTCTTAGTGTAGATGTGCAGCAGGGGAAAGGCTTCTAGCAGGGTCACCCTAGAGATAAATCAGGCCTCCAGGCTTAGACAGTGTTCAGATAAGGTCAATCATAGGGGCCCAGAGACTTTCCCTAGATAATGGCTCGTAGAAAGCAGGAAGTCTTGATTGGTGGATGGTGGGGAGGGGAGTTCTCAAGTTGTCCAACTTTGGAGAAAGATGTCAGGCCATGAGAAACTGCACCCTCTGACCAGCAAGAAGGCCATCCAACTCTTCCCTCCCTCCCTCCCTCCCTCCCTCCCTCCCTCCCTCCCTCCCTCCCTCC